GGGCGTGCCGGCTTGTAGGCAATCGGCATGCTCCACTTTACCAGATGTGGCCAGGTGGTCTCCAAAGTGTTCCGTGGACACTCCCTCATGGGACTGTCCAGCTTTCTCAGAGTAGAGGCAGGGCCTGGAGGGATGGGACCAAGGTCGAGTCCGTTTTGACAGGGGACCGGCCCAGGAGGACGGGAAGCTGTGGAGACAGGGCAGGCGCTGTGCTACCGCAGCGCGGGGTGGGCTGGGCACTCACTGTAGGAGGGACCTGGGAGGGGTGAGGGAGCTGAGGGGATGCCCCAGCCTTCACTGTGGGTTTAGTTTGGGCTGTGACGCTGTGACCAAGCAGGCAGGAAGCAATGAGAGTGCTGGCCTGGGTTTTAACCCCCTCCTGGTGCAGTGGTGAGAGCCTCATGTGAAGCGGGCTCTGCCCCGGCTGCTGTGTGCCCTCCGGCAGAGCGCTGCTCCTCTCTGGCCTCATTCTCCTTGCTCCCTGTCCAGCTTGGGCCAGGAGGTCTCTGAGGTCCCCGCGCACTCGTGTGCTCAGATGTTCTTGGCAAGTGGTTGTGGCTTCCTGCCCCTGGCCCTGCGAGCGGAGGCACTGACTTGGTGGCAGCGGAGCCCGTAGCTGGCATCCGGGTGCTTGTTGGGGGAGGGGAGACTGGGGTGTGGAGAGACGGGCTTGCCGAGGGAAGCTTAGGGGCCATGGGGAACCCCAGACTCCTGCGTGTACCCTGCCTTCTTATGAGCCTGTGCCTGGAGTCTGGGAGAGGTAGAAGGTTCCAGCCTCTGACCAGAGAGAGGGAGTGGGCGTGTTCCTTGCCACTTAGGTTTAATTCAATTATATTTGCTCTCTGTACGGACTCTCGGATTATTACTTTATCCAATGAGCGAGGCCACGGGGAAAGGAGCAGGGGTGCAGAAGAAAGGTTTGAAGAAGGCGTCCCAGGGGAGCGTCGGCCATGGTCCCCACGGTGATGGTGATGGAGCTGTGGCTTCAGGGACAGCGCACAGGCAGGCTTAGGGTGTGACTTGGGGGCTTTCCGGGGGTGGGGAGGGGTTGCAGGAGGTTGGGGTCAACAGAGACCCAGTGGCCCAGGCCTTTTCTTTCTCTGCCTGAGAGAGGGTTTGGGTTACAGTTCGGGTTACAGTCCCACTGTGTCAGATCCATCAGGCTACCTGGCACCTCTGAGCCTCGGTCCCCTCTGTAAGATGGGCTGTTAGCACCTGCCCCAGGGTGTGTGAGAACGCACTGCAAGTGTGTGTTTCAGTAAACGCTGGTCCGTCTGAAGCTACTCCGGTCCTCTGTGCCCCTCACTACTGGGAGCTTGCGTCATGCCGGCAGAGCCCCCAGTGGCCAGCCACTTAAGTCCCCTTTCGGGGGTCCCTGGAGCAACTGTGCTGACAATTGGGTAGCAATGCAGAGGGACCCTGTGGGTACTTGGTTTCTCATCTAGGGACAGGGACACCAGTGGGCACTTACTCCAGAGCAAGCAGGCAGTATGCTCAGATGTGCCCATGTCTACGGCCTGCGGGCGTGCCCTTGACCTTGTGCCCCAACCCATTCTCCACATGGCCCAAGCCATGACACATCGGACTGGCAGAAGGGGTGGTTATGGGAGCCAGATGGCTTGCGTTTCAACCCCTACCTTACTGCTGATTATCTGTGTGACCTTGGGAAGCCACTTAACCTCTCTGTGCCTCAGTTTCTCCATCTAGAAGTCGGTGCTGTGCCGTTGACACCCCGGATGAACGAATCCATGTGAAATTTGCAGAATAATATTCAACGCACATTAGGCCCTTCATAAATGTTCATGAGTATTTTTGAGCTCTGCATAGCCCCCCAAACTCCCCTCCACTCCTCTCCCTCTCTTGTGGTTGTAAGTGTATCCTGCTCGGACTGTACTCCCACCTCAGGCACCTTGTGGCTCACATTCTGGCTGACGGAGCTGTGGTCACTTAATTCTTCTCTCTCCAGCAAAATGAAGTGTGCAGGATATGCCCTGGGGTGTCAGGTGGCGGGGGGCATGGCCCAGAAAGACCGCTTCATCTGTGAGCTCCTCCCTGTCTGAGAACAATTCACTTCCATTCCTTACTTCCCTCCCTTCTGCCCTGGTCGCCCTCCTCCCTCCTGGAGCCAGGTGGCTCCTCCTCACCCCCCCATCCAGCCGCCTCCCCTTGTCCATCTGTCTCTCCAGATGGGGGGAAATGTCACAATTGGCCCATTTTCTAACTGGAAAGGAACCATATGGAGGGTTTAAGTGGGAGCGGAGTGTCTGCCCGGCCACCATTAGTGCAGGGCCAGCTCCCTGGGCAGCAGATTGGCTCCCCTTGGCTCTCTCTGCGGGACCGGGGACTGGAGGGACCAGTCCGACCCAGGGACCCTCCCTCCTTCTCTGCTCCTCTCTCTTCCCCATGAGCTCCTGATGACCATGGTCTTCTCTAGTGCTTAGGATTTGTTTGGTGCCTAAGGAGATACCTAAGGAGCTCGGCCGTCCTGAAAGAGGCAGAAAGTAAGGGAGGTGCGTTCTGGTCATGGGATAGGGGCAGAGCACTGCTGTGCCCGCTGTGGAGAACTGGGCGGGGGGTGGGTCTACGTCCTGGGGACAGGGATGTGAGAGTGTCTGTGTGTCATGTGGCCCCAGGCAGGTGCCTGGCCTAGAACAACCCCTCTTTTAGTGAGTGTGCCTTGTTTTTCCCCGAGTGCCCCACATCTGGCTTCTTATGCCTCCTCCCTCAGACTCAGCTCAGGGTCACTGTCTTTGGGCAGCCCTCCCTGGTTGCCACTTCCCTGCCCAAGGGCAGAGGCCTTTCTTGGGTGGGGCTTGGGTTTTGATACTTTTCCTGGTGGGGTCAGTTGTGTCTCCCAGGACTGTGAGCCCCTTGCAGCACGTGCCCCCCACACAGAGGTGCGTGCAGTCTGTGCAGAAGTGTCAAGTGGCCCCGGCATGGTCAGAGAGGCCATTTGGAAGCCCAGGGGTAGCAGCAGCGAGGTGCCCAACTGAGGTAGATGGTTTGAGGCACTGCTGGGTCCCCAAGGGATCCTGCTTGGGGTTGAGCAGGGCTTAGATAAAGGATCTGCCTCATTAAGAATAATCCCCCATACTTTTCTATCCACTGAGCCCTGACTCTGCCTCCTGGGGCCCTGGGGTTCTTAACCCCCTGGGGCTCCCTGCTCTGTATCCCAGTAAGGCAGGGAACTGTGTGGCTCTGGGCAAGTGTTCTTTTCTCTGAGCCTTCGTTTCCTCGCCTGTCAGGTGCTTTTGTACCATTTTTCTGTACTAAATCAGGTGGGATTTAGATGCATGAGTCACACCTGTCTGCCACCAGCACTGGAGGGACCTGTCTAAGGCTGGGAACTGGCCGGGTAAAGTTCAAGGTGCTCCCAGGGTGTCTGTGAGCTGCCCAGCCTGGGTGTGAGTCTGGCCTTCAGACTATTGACTCTGCATCCCGGGTGCTCCCGCAGGCATGGGGGCTGGGCTTTGTAGGGGAATGAGCTCAAGAGATAGCCCAGTCCTGGCCTCTGGGCCCTCCTCCAGGACCCAGCCAGGCGGGCATGGGCCAGAGAAGAAGGAGAGGCAGGAGGGCTTCCAAAGACCCCCTGACCCCATCAGAGCTCCTTCCAGAGTGCTCTGTTAAAACGGGTCTTGAACACCCAGCTGGGAATTTGTTCACGAATAAGATGGGGGGAGAGGTGTCAAGGTACCCTGCGGGGCCAGGGAGTAGAGCCACAGCTGGGGAGCCTGTGAGTGCCCAGACAGGAGCTGGGGAAGAGCTGGATGCACAGGCCCCGGATGTGCGGGCACGAGCCAGCAGCCAGACAGCGCTCTTGCCAAGGGGCCTGTGATGAGCACATGGCCTGGGGTAAGGGCCCTGGGAGGTGCATGTGGGTGTGGATGTGTGGGGCTAATGGCCCCAGGTGGGCAATTTGCTGTCTTCTGTGACTTACTCCTCCACAGCACCTTGTGAGGTGGTCTCAACGAAAATAACCAGTGTTTACTAAGCACTCTCTCTACGTGCCAGATATTACTGCATTTATGTGCAATAACTCACCCAGCTTGGTGACGACCCTGTAAAGTGAGTAGAAGTATTATCTTCTCTTTGTAGATGATGTATTTGAGGCACAGAGAGGTTCAGTAACCACCCTGAGGTCACATAGTAGAAAGTAGCAGAGCTGAGGTTTAAACCTAGGCAGTCCAGGGGCACCTGGGTGGCTCAGTCTGTTGAGGGTCCGACTTCGGCTCAGGTCATGATCTCACAGTTCACGGGTTTGAGTGCTGTATCGGGCTCTGTGCTGACAGTTCAGAGCCTGGAGTCTGCTTCAGATTCTGTGTCTTCCTCCCTTTCTCTTTGCTCCTCCCCCACTCACACTCTGTCTCTCTCTCTCTCTCAAAAATAAATAAACATTAAAAAAATAAAAGTAAAATAAAAATAAACCTAGGCAGTCCAGCTCCTAAACACTGCTATATTGTCTCTTGCTAGCAGCCTGTTTATATATGTGGGATCTGAGGCACAGAGAACTTAAGTGACATGTCCAGGGTCATCCAGTTGGTGAGTGGTGGAACCAAAATTTGTAGTGTGGCTGTCCTCAATTCTTTTTTTTAACATTTTATTTACTTTTTGAAAGACAGAGGCAGAGCACTAGTCGGGGAGGGGCAGAGACACAGAGAGAGGGAGACACAGAATCTGAAGCAGGTTCCAGGCTCCAAGCTGTCAGCATAGAGCCCGATGTGGGGCTTGAACCCATGAACCAGGAGATGGTGACCTGAGTCAAAGTTGGATGCTTAACCAACTGAGCCACCCAGGCGCCCCTGTACTGTGGCTTTGCCTAGAAATCAGGACCTGGGAGCTAGGAGTCCCTTTCAGGGACCATGGGCAGCCCCTGGCCTCCATCTCCTGGAGTGAGAGTGTGTCCTAGGGGGCGGGGTGAGGCAGGGAGAGACCTGTGCCTCTTTGCCCAACCCACACCCCTCCCCAGCCCCACCCAAGGCTGACTGGTGCCCTTCCCACAGGGGGCGTGTGCATCGCTCAGTCGGTGAAGATACCTCGGGAGCCCAAGCCTGGGGAGTTTGACAAGATCATCCGGCGCCTCCTGGAGACCTCGAATGCCAGGGCGGTCATCATCTTTGCCAATGAGGATGACATCAGGTGAGGGCAGGTGGCAGCGGGGTGGGGGCTGGGAGCCAGTCATGGGAAGAGCCTTGGGTTCTGCTGGAGACCTTCCTAGACAGCCTGAGCCCCCTTGGGATCCAGAGAGGTGGAGTGGGTGAGCGTGTGGGCTGGGAGACCCCTCAGGTTGGGACACAGGCTACTGCTAATGGGCACCTCTCCCCCTTCCCAAGCTCCCTTACACCCATTCTACTGACTGGGGATGGTAAGCAGGTACTTTAACAGAGGAGTGAAGGCCCTGGGCTTTCAGCCAAAGCACCTAGCTAGGTTCTAATCTTGCTCTCTCTCCTAGCAGTGTGACCTGAGGCAAGTTCCTCCACCTCTCTGTGCCTCTGTATTGCTTAAAAAAAGGGGGGGGGTTGGTTAAGGATGCTGCCTGATGTTTGAGAACTGAGTGCAGGAACGTGCATAAAGGGCTTAGAGCAGAGGCCGGCCTGCAGCAGGTGCCCAGTGCACGGGGGGCCCCTGCCTCCTTCCTTGGCAAAGCTTGGAGCAGTGGCAAGAGGCCTGGGCTGTGGGTCTAGTCCTGGCTTGGGAACACACTCACCCTGGCCAGTCTCGTCCCCTCCCTGGGCCTCCATCTCTGCATCTGCAGAGGAAACAGGTGGACTTCAGGCGCCAGGACTGTGAAGTATAAATGCTGGTCCAGCTCCCCCCTCTGCAAGTCTGTCTCTGGTCCTGAGTCAGAACCTCGGGAGCACTTAAAAGATGACCCCTGAGTGCCCACCCCTGTTAACCTGCTTCCCTTGTTCCTGCGTTTTCCCCTGCTACTACCTCTTAGACTGATGTCAAGACCAAGGGGAACAGACCTCCATGATTTTCCGAAGGGAGAGAGATACAGGCTTTGAGCTCAGGGAGCCCCAGTCTGGAGGAGGGGAGACACAGCTCAGCGTCTGATGGGGCAGGCCTGTGACCCTCCCCACACCTCCTCCCTCAGATAGCTCCCCTGTCCCCCAGGCCAGCCAAGGCCCCCTGTCTGCCCCTGCCCCCACACGCCTCCTTCCCTGTTGCTAACCAGTGTCCATCGGGGTCCCATTCCCTCTAACACTTTCCCTACTTGGTAAAGGCCCCATCCTGGACTCCTGAGTTGCAGGAAAACAGATTTTCCCCAGGAGACATTGCCAGGTCCCTGCAGGGATGGAGGGGGGATGTTCTGGAAGATCATTAAGGCCTCAAAAGCCAACAAGACCAGCTCTAAGGGGGAGGCATCTCAGGCAGTGCAAGGCCGGGAAGGGGGTGTCTGCTGAGCCCAGAGGTTGCTCCCGACCCCCTCAAGGCTTTCAGGCCCCTTAAATTCTGCCTCAGGACATTCCTGTTACCCACAGGCCTGCCAGCTCCTGGGCACGAGGGCCCCCTTCAGAAGTCCTTTTCCTCACTTAAATCACTGGTCCCTGCATTCCTGTCCCCACCCCCACCCTAAAGCCTGCCGCTCAGATCCCACACCCCACCCAGGGGTGCACCCCACTCCAGGCCCCCGGCTTAGCTCAGATGGACCCGTGTGCCGGGAGGGGGAGATGAAGGCACTGGGCCATGTGTCCCGCAGAGGGGAGGGCTGACTCCAGAGGGACGGTAGCAGGAAGTGTGGTGGGGGGCCCGGGTGCAGAGGCATTTCTGGAAATCCACATGCATTTTCAGAAGCAAACAGAAGTAAAAATAAACCCAGGTGACTTTGTAGGGATGGAGGCCTGGGAGCTCGGGTCGTCTCTGCCTGGCCAGACTCAAGTGGGTATTAATAGGGCTGTGGGTGTGGCTTCTGGCCCCCCCACCCCCCGCCCCAGATTAGTGTGCCCTGCGGGGGGCGCTGCAGCAGATTTGGGAGGCTGGGAATATCAAAAGTCAGGAGATGCTGAAGGAGGGAAGGTATGGACTCTGGGGCCTGGAAACATGTTTGTTCCCGGCAGCCCCAGGCTGTTCCCCCTTCATCTGGCTGCTTCCTGCACAGGCCCAGCAGCCCCTCCCAAGCCTGATGGCTGTGTCCCAGTTTCTAGCATCACAGCCTCTCACTGCTGTGCAATCCCAAGCAAATTGCTTGCCTCCTCTGTGCTCCAGTCTCCCCGTCCCCCCTGCCCCACGCCCCATGGGAAGAGCTGGGTTGGAGGAATTCTTCCCAGTCCTCCTGGTTTTCTCATCCCTAAGCGGCTCCTGTGGGTCCTGCCCTGTGCTGGGCTCTAGGGTCCCTGATTTGATTACGCCCAATGTCACAGTAGGACTGTGACACCCTCCATCCAGGAGGGGGTGGACAGCAGCTCTTTGGCACCAAAAGAGGTGGGGTGGAGAGGGCTCTGCTGGAAGGGAAGCAGGTATAGAGGGGTGTGTGTGTGTGTGTGTGTGTGTGTGTGTGTGTTTTCGCATGTGCACACCTATAAATGTGACAAGGAGCCAAGAGATGTGGCTGTGGCATTAGGGCCGTGTGACATGAATCCAGGAGGACACAGGCTGGCGGGCAGATGTAGTTCCAGGGGACCTGAGTCAGATATGGGGCACGTACGGACCTATGGAAATAGCTTGGGTTTTTGCAAGGGCAGATGTGGCCCAAGGGGCAGGAGTGGGTCTGGGGGAGCACGCTGGGCCTGTGGGCAGGGGTGGGCCCAGGGCACAGGCAGGGGTTACAGGAACAGGTATGGGCTGAGAGGGCTGGCCATGGGCCTGCGGGCAGGTGTGAGCCAGGGGGAACCATGGGCCTGGGTGACAGGCACGGGCTAGGAGGGGGGCAGGTGTGTGTGTGGGGTGAGCCGAGGGCCCCCAGGCAGGTGGGGCCAGGGCCGGGCAGTCGCACGGGCAGTTGCACGGGCAGACACGGCTGGGCCGGGCCGGCGTGTGTTCCCACAGGCGTGTGCTGGAGGCAGCGCGGAAGGCTAACCAGACAGGCCACTTCTTCTGGATGGGCTCGGACAGCTGGGGCTCCAAGAGCGCGCCCGTGCTGCACCTGGAGGAGGTGGCAGAGGGCGCTGTCACCATCCTCCCCAAGAGGATGTCTGTGCGAGGTAGGCCTGGTAGGCCCGGCAGCCTGCCTGCCACCGCTGTCGGGGTCATCCCCAGCTGTTCCTTCTTCCCGCCCCCCGACTCCATTCCTCGCCCACTATTCATCTTCTCGCATCCTGCCTTTCCTCTTCCTTGGCCCACACCTTCTTTGCGCTGATGTTCTAGGCCTTTCTAGCTACACTCAACCCAGCAGGATTCAAATCCAGATTCAGGACCTTTTTTCTCCCTTCTCATTTTTGGGCATGGGGGGCATGGGGGACGTGCGGCGTATACAGGAAGCTTATTTATCAAGGACTTTCCTTCATCCGCAAATACTTCCATCCCTTCTCTCATCTGGGACAGAGGGGCAAGAACCTCGCCCTGCCTGGGCCAAGTCCTCTGTCAGAAAGGGCGGTGAGCTGCCAGCAGGTGACAAAAAGGTGCTGTGCCAGGGGCACGGGATTCTCCCTGCAGGGCTGCCTGCGTCTCCGAAGCCCTGGGTGGTGTTGGGGGTGGGCCGGTCCTGCCCCACCTCCCTTCCTCTTGGGGCAGAACCCATAGTCACCCTGGGCAGGAACAGACTGCCCTGGCAGCAACCTCGCTGAGTGAGGCGTGAAGTTCCCATTAACGGCCCAATTTGGCAGGGACCTCACTGTCCTCACCACAGGGGAGGCAGCCTCCCAGAGCCTACCCCCCTGCTCTTGCTTCATTAAATAGAATCCAGCATTGATGGAGCTGGGAAGGCCTGCAGACATCTGTCTCTACCAAACTTTCCAAGACGCCAAGGCCTGAGCACCGGAGGCACTTGGTCAAGGTCACACAACAGTGTACTCTCTTTACCCGGAGGCAGAGGGAGTACAGGCCACAAATGTTTCCACATGACTCTTCTTAGCCTCGAGCCATAGTGAACACAAAATAACAGTAACTCTGGCTATTGGTAGACATCTCATTTAGTCTTCTGAGCCACCCCACAGGACACTTTTATCCACATTTAGTAAATGAACGCATTAAGGCTCAGAGAGATTACATGACATATAGTGGCTATTAGGTGGCATAGCTGGGATTTGAACCCAGAACTCGCTTGACAAGTCCCTTTTCTCTCTGGGATATTAGAGAAGACTTTGAGCAGTGGTTCTCATCAGGGGGTGATTTGACCCCCACAGGCCCTTTGGCAATGTCTGGAGACATTTTTGGTTGTCACAACTGGGGGATGATGCTCCTGGTGTTGAGCGGTGGAAGCCGGGGATGCTGCTCACATCTTGAATGGCACCAGACAGCCCCCCGCAACAAAGAATGACGGGACCCACAGTGTCAAGGGCACCAGGGCTGAGAGACCCTGCCCTCGCCCAGTCCCTCACCCATGTCAGCTTTTCTCCCACAGCCATTGAACCTCCACTTGACTCCAGCCCTAGACAGGAAGCTCACCACACGGTGTGGACCCTACTGAACTTCCGGGCCTTCTGGCCCACCCCAAGCAGCTCAGCCCACCAGGCTGAGTCTGGGAGTCATCAATACAGCAGGGGCACTGGGAGGAGAGAAGGCATTCTTCACCCGCCAGCCTGCCCACCCTGGTGGGGGTGCGGGGGGCGGTTCTGGGCTTAGAGCCCCTTGGTGAGTCCCCTTTGGAATATCTGAAGGAGGCAGCCGTGTCTGTCAATGACGGAGGCAGTTCTGGACTTGAAGGCAGAAGATCTAGGCCCTGGTCTTGCTGTGTGACCTGGGTCATCCCCTCCCCTCTCTTGTCTGGTCTCCTTTTCAGAACTGGAGAGCTCAGGGGCATCCAGCTTTGGTCAGCCCCCACCTGACTCTCTGTTCCAACCTCAGGACGCCCAGGTGGCTCCTTCTCAAAGAGGCCCGTATTAGCATTTTGGTGGTTAAAGGCAAAGCATCCTACACTGGGCACTTCTCTTCCAGAAAGGCGGCAGTTGTAAGATTACACACGCTCCCCCTGGGACTTAATACAGCTCTTTTCATTTTGAATGAAATGAAATGCTCCACATTTTTTTTTTTCTGGCCGGGCCCTGGATCAGAGGCCATGCTCGTCCCTTCCTCCCCCTCTCTACTCGGGCCATCCCTAAATCTAGGGAAGGGCTGGGGGCAGGCAGGTGGGGAAGGGGGGCGCGAGGCCCTGACGTCTTGGTTGGTTCCCTGCCAGGCTTCGACCGCTACTTCTCCAGCCGCACGCTAGACAACAACCGGCGCAACATCTGGTTTGCCGAGTTCTGGGAGGACAACTTCCATTGCAAGCTGAGCCGCCACGCGCTCAAGAAGGGCAGTCACGTCAAGAAGTGCACCAGTGAGCACGCGCGAGGCGGGGCCAGGCGAGGCCTGGGGGCGGGCCTCCCGCGGGAGTGGGGCGGGGCCTGGGGGCGGGGTCAGGGCTATTCTGGCTCGGAGGCCTTGGGTATGGGAGCGCTCAGATTCTGAGAAAGCCTGCCGTGCTCTCAGGCATCCGTGATGCTCCTGGGGGTGATGGGGGCAAGGGGCTCCTGGGTCTCAGCAGAGTTTCCCTCCATCCTGTGGCCACCTTGGGGTTGATCTGGACGTCCCTACCACGAGCCCACAGAATTGCCCCCGGTTGCCCTGGGTGGGAGTCCAGAAGCTCACTGGTCTGAGCTTTTTGCAGAAACCTCGAGGCTCCTCAGTCATTCAAGAAATGCCGATTTGACTCCCTGTTCTAAGCGCTGTGGATATAGCACCGAATGAAAAAGTAAAAAAATCTCTTGGAATTTTTATCCTAATGGCAAAACATTTAAACGAGATATACGTCAACTATAAAAATACATCAGAGAGAAAATGTGCAGTAGAAACAAATTAAAAAGAGAGAGAGAGAGATAGCCTTCCTGTAAAGGTAACATTCGAGCAGAGTCCTGAAAAGGAAAGGGAATGAGCCACAGGAGGATGGGACAATGCGTCCATTTTACAGATTGGAAAACAGAGGCTTAGAGAAGGTAAGTAAAGGGACCTGAGTTTTCATAGCTGGAGGGTGGTTGAGCAGGATTTGAATTCAGGTCTGAGCTCTAGGCCCTAAGTCCCCTAGGGTAGCCAAATGTGTCCACATTTGGATACATTCAGATGTGGGTCCCTGCGTATTCTTGGTCTGGGCAGTCCTGCAGCAGGATCCTACCTCAGTGACTTTGAGGGGGCTCCCGGCATCTTCAACATGAGTGGTACCTGTGTGAGGGTGGTGGAGTCCCTCTTGTATCTTCCTGGACTATTCGGTGTAGGGCCAGATGAGCAAAGGGCCGCCGGACTGGGTCCTGGGACATGCCACCTGGAGTCTTAGGCAGTGGGGAGATGCCCAGGGCTGGGGAGGAGGCAGCAGGATTAGGTTGGTGGGCAGGGGAGGAGGGTGCTGCCCTCTGGTGGCCAGGGCCCTCTGGGATCAGGAATATTGGCCACTTAGGACCATGGGTATCCCCTGGGACCCAGCAGGCAAGCTCATGGGTGGGTGTGCGTAGCAGTGTGTGTGCGTGCGCACGGGTGTGTGTGACTGTGTATGTGCATGAGTCAGTCTAAGGGAGAAGGGGTATGTATTTGTGGAGGAGCCTCATGTAGAGGCTTCTGTTCCTGGATGAGCTAATTACTGCAGATACCACTGTCTGGTATGCATCTGGTCGTGTTCCAGATACTTTACAGACATTATCTCATTTCCCTCTTAAAACAGCTGTAGGGACTTTTGTGGCCCCCATATTATACAGGAAACTGTGGGGAGTCAGAGAAGCCAAGCAGCTTGCTGAAGGCTGCACAGCAAATGCCTTTATCAGGCAGTAATCACAGAGGAGGTGTGAGAAATACACACACCCCTGAGTACGGGAGACGGAGCCTTCATGGGTAGGGTGGCCAAGCGTCATTTGACTCCTTTGCTCCTGGCATAATTTTTGAACATGTCCCTTTTATTCTTAAAAATACCTAAATGGGGTTGGAAAATGGTGAGTTCACCCTGATTATAGGTCACCAGGCCTGGCTTGAGGGCGGGGAGAAGCGAGACTAGAGCTAAGGGCAAGATGGGTATCTGGTGCCTCCCGCATCTAGCTTGCCAAGGGCGAGGGGCTTTCTGGAGTCACCTCCTGGTCTGCGAGAGAGCCTTGGTCAGCCCCCAGAGGCTCTCCCCAGACGCCCAGGCCTCGGGTCAGGATTCGCAAACGTCTCTTGCTGTGCTAGTGAGCTAGGGAGAGGGGCACACCTCTGCAGCCCCAAGGGAGATGTTTGGGCTGTAGGAGCAGGTGGAGGAAGGAGGCCTAGAGCAGAATCCAGAAGTGTGTGGAGCCTCCCCGGGAGCCTGAGGCACGCTCTGTGGCCTCGCTGGGCCTTTGTCTTCTTATCTGAGAAATGGGATTGATGGTGAGCTGGCCCAGAGGCTGTCTGGGATGGAAGTGAGAAAGTATTAATGGAGGCACTTGGTGAATTGGGAAATGGTGGCTCTCAGGCCCAGCCATGCATAAGAATCACCTGGAAGCTTTTAAAACTATACCAGCACCACCCCCAGACCCATTAAATCAGAACCACAGGGGTGAGGCCTAGGCTGAGTCTGTGAAAGCTCCCCAGGTGGTTTTATGTATACTTAAGGGCTGGGAATGAGGGTGGGAGCAGGCTTTTTCACAGTGAATTGCCCGGATCTTTTGAAACTACTGATGCCTGACTCCCACTCCCACACATTCTGAGTGAATTGGTTCTGGGTGCAACCTGGGCATTGGGATTTTGAAAAAAGCGTCCCAGGTGGTTCTGCTGTGCAGCAAAGTGCGGTAGCCCCTGGCTCAGAGAGAGGGGCCGTGATGGGAGGGAGGATGGCATGCACCCCAGGCCTGGGGGTGGGGGGAAGGCATGAACAAAGCAGCTGAGGCTGGAATGAACACAGAGGAGGAGGACAGCACGTCACAGCTGACCCCGAGCCTTCCTGCTGCAGCTGAAGCCCCAAGAGAGGCTGGCAAGAGCCCCGTTGTGGCCTCAAGTCGGTGCGGCGCCCCCATCCGGCGCGGTGAGCCCGCCCATCTCGGGCTAACGTGAGGAGCAGGGCCACCGCTGGGAATGTTTGTGGGGCCCGAGACCCACCCTGGGTGAGGGGGAGGCGGCTCTGGCTTCCCGTGGCCCTGCCCGGGGTGGAGCTGAGCCGCTCCCTCGGGAGAATGTCTCAGGCCAGGGGGCCCGGGGTAGGGCTGGGCAGCTGGGGGGGGGGGGCAGGGGAAGGACTCACCCCCCGAGTCTGGATCTGACTCTGTGTCCTCCCTGCTGTGAGACCTTGGACAAGTCAGTTCGCCTCTCTGAGTGTCTGGGACGGCAGGGGAGTCACTGCCCCCTCAGTGGGCTGATGGGATGGGAGACGCGGTGTATGAGGAGGCTGGCTGAAAAACGCCATGTGTGATCGGTGCTGGTACAGTGGTTGTTGATACGGAGAGTGAGTGGGAGAGAGGGATGTCCGAGTCTGTTGGCACCAGTTCTGTCAGCGGTAGGGTCCCCGAGGAGGGAGGGCAGCTGGTAGAGGCATAGGTGCAGCACCCATTTTACAGAAGAGACTACTGAGGCCCTTTGAGACCATCACAGCACTAGAGAATTGGCAGAACTGGATTTATACCCAGGCAGCCTGGCCCTAGAGCTGCTGTCTTGCTCTGTGTCTCCTGGTTCCTTCCTCCCCACTCCTCCAGGCGCCCTCAGGCTTGCCCCCAGCCGGCCCAGGCAATGCTCTGTGTTCTCCACACTCTGTCTCCAGAGGCTGGCTTCTCACTTCTTCCAGGACGCCTGGCCCTCAACACTGGTGGCCTTCTACTGGCCCGCTCTGGCCCCCTGGGTGCTAACAGATTCCCTGGCTGGCCTCTGCCTGTTTCAGTCCCACATGCCGCTCCTAGAGCGCACCAGTTCCTCAGCACCCCCATCTGCCTGCCGAATGGATGGGCGGGAACTGCTGTGACCAAAGAAAGTCTCAAAAGAGCAGCAGATGCTGGCAGTTGGAGATGGGGTTGGCATGTCTCAAAGTGGTAAGAGTGAGCACACCTGGGTGTGAGTCCTGGTGCGGCCACTTTCCAGCTGCATGACCTCGGCGGGGCATTTTACCTCTGGGGGGCCTCGGTTTTCCTCATCTGTAAAATGGGAATCCTAGTACTCACGGCCATCCCCTCCAGAGCCCTGTTCCCAGCAGAGCTACCTCGCTCACCTTTTCCCAGAGAAGGGATAGAGGATGGAGGTGATCTGTGGGGGCACTTGCAAATTGCAAAGGGGCCGCCCTGCACCCTAGCCATGTCGGGGTCCCTGATGGGAGGCTATGCAGCTGTCAAGGCCCAGGGGAGGGCAGCCCCTGCCCCCCTCCCCATCTCCCGGGCCCCTCCCTGGCCCCCCTCTCCCAAACGCAGAGAGGGTTTGGGAATTAAAGCCATAAACAAGGCAGATGTGGCATCTATCTTTTTGACAGCTCTGCCAGCCAGGTGATGGCTGAGCGGAGGAAGGCCCGGTTTATGAGGAAACTGGAAAAATTTACTGCCTGCTGTTCCCAGGGGCTGGGCGCTCTTAGAGGGAGAGTCGCCGCATGGCAGCTGGGGATATGTGGGGAGACTCCTGCCACCAGCCAGAGCTAACAGCTACAGCACCACCGCCACTAATAATAATAACCGTTGATAGATAGCATTTATTACTTGTCAGGCTCTGTTCTAGTGTTTTGCTTTTAATCTCCCCAGCAACCTATTTTACAGGTAAGGAAACTGAGGTTCAGAGAGGCTAAAGACTTGCCCCAAGTGACAGGATCGTGAGGAGCTGAGCTGGGATTTCACCCGGCCAGTCCAGCTCCCCAGATGTCCTGCCTCAGAGCAGCCGAGGTCCTAGCCCCAGGGCCTTCCTGGGTGTTCCAGCCTGGCCTTGAACGATCTTCCTATTTACACTTTCCCAAAGAAGACTGAGAAAGCTTCCTTCCTGGGGAAAGGAAGGAGGACCGACATTTGGAATTACCCATTATCTCCAGTGGGTGCCACCCATTAGAGCACCTCATCTTTACTCAAGCCGTCAGCCACATGGTGGCCCGAGGGATCCCGGGCCCTCTCCCTCAGTGCCGCTTCTTACTTGTTCCACCGGCTTCCACTGAGAGGCTGATTGCATGCCCAGCCCCATGCTGGGCTCTGTGAGGGGCACCGGCCTTCCCTGGGGGGGCTCCCACTGCAGCAGGGAGGCAGCACAGCTTTCCAGACAAGATGACCGTTGGTGGGATAGCCTTGCTTGGCAGTCAGTGCTACAGGTCTCCAGGGAGGGCCCAACCCTAGACTGGAAAGAGCAGACTCAGGAAGCCACTTGGAAGGAAATGGAAAGTTATGGGAG